ATCTTCTAATACTATATCTTGTTAATCCTATCTCATTAGTGATATTTGTTGGGTAATAAGGTGGAAAATCTCAAAATAATAATCCTACAGAAAGATTATTATTCTATGGGGAAAACAGAAAAACTAGGAAGGAAAAGGTGGAAGAAATCTTGGTAAGGGTTAGCACGAGTTGAACAGATTGTTCTTTTCCTTAAAACCTTATTTACTACCTCCCACAAGTGCTAGGAGCGTTGTAGCATAGGTTTCCCAGGATAAAACGTGCTACGATTCTTTGTTTAAGCACCTAAACAAAGAACCCAGCAAACAAAGCAAAGCAAGAACACAGTTTGCTAAAGAAGAGAGTAGAAGCAGAGTTTTGAGAAGCTAAAAGTTACTGGAATTCCTTTGTTTTTGGTTCTGTGTAAAATGCTTCTGCCCTACCTATCTTTATATAGGACTGTTGGAGGGATAGCAATCAATATGGCCATTAATTGGTATTAAAACCAATTGTGTAATACCTGTAACAGCCACCCACTAACTAGGATTAAAACTCAGATTTAAAATTTGAATCACTAACTAGGATTAAAACTCAGATTTAAAATTTGAATTAAAACAGTATTAATTTCGTAATCTGCACAACAGGCTGAACTTTCGGTCTGAGATATGTGTGATACCGAAGTTTGGCATAACTTATGTTTTCCGGACGACATTCCCCCGCGCGAGAGAGCCTCTATGCTATACAATTCTACAAGCTTCAAAAGAGCTCTTGTATATAAAGGGGGCAAATCCACTTTCCAAACCAATGTGGGACAAAGCTCACTTTATTCCTTTCATTTCCCAACTCAAATGGGTCTACTTTGAGAATCAATATCTCATTCACCCATTATCCGTTTTGAGCGTACAATATATCAATCTCTTCGTCTTACTACGAAGAACCCGAATCCACTTTGACCCGACCCAAATTGAAAGTGGACCCCACTGATAATTGTACCATAAAATAGCCACTTAATATGCCATTTTAAGCTAGTTTTCCAACAATATTCAATCAATAACAAAATTCCTAAACTCATCTGGTATCAGTTAGTCAGTTTACCAAAATTCTCTCTCCCTCTCCAACTCATCTGGCTAATATGCATAAAGTATTCCAGCCAGGTATTGGTGATCATCATTCTCAATTTTATTGGGTAATAACAGGTTAACAGTTTCTGTAACACCCCCCAAACATGCTATATAAAAAGCCTTAACACATGCAGATCATACAACAAAACTAGCACAGCGGAAGATAAAACGGAAACTGGATAGAAGAAATCCAAACAGGGTGTTATGCCACGTCTACCAAACACGGTAAACGCTACGGCGATCAATCTGCAAGTGTATACATCTAACCCAAAAGGTAACAGTCTAACACTACAACGGCACACAGGCCACAAAACAAAGGTAAAGATACTAGACTACCGGCCACTAACATCGCGCTCGTCTAGACATCACCTGAAAGATACAAAGATAAACATTAGGACGACGCCCGGTCAGCGATAATGCTGGTAACCCACCAATACCTGTTAAGTATCATACATAGGTAGGGTATATACAAAAATCATTTCGAAACGGAATACATATATATAAGTGTAAAACCAAGAGTAAACACCAACACAAGACTCAACACTCATCAATAAACACCACGGGAACACATCCCAAGACCACAACGGATAACGACACCACAAGGATCAAGACACGACAACCAGCACACATGCCTAGGCATCACATGCCTTTGTGACTACACACGTCACAAGAGAGAACACACAACCACTGCTACACAAGCCCTCGTGACATCACCCGCCACGAGTTGGTATGCCTTCCTTATGCCCTGTTCCAACCTTATGGCTACCCCAACCTTATATCTAGTTCCAACCTTTACCTCCAGGACCCCTATACATACAGTCCAACCTTATTCCCCTGGGAACCGTCGTTCCCCCTCCAACAGTCCTCCAACAAAGCCACCGATTCATAGTACACGAGGTACCGTACACGCACATGACACACATGCCCGGATAACACCTGTTATCCCCCAAAAACGTGAACCTTACACAAAGGCCATAGCTCCATAATCACGCCACGGCCACCACGAGGACCGCTGCAATACCTTGGTGACTAGTGTCACATACCACTAATCGTGCAATCCAGGTAAAGCCACACACGCACCACAACTCAACAAGAGTCAAACAACGGATCACAACGAAGGTATGAAACATACTCAATCAAGGAACGGGTCACAGCCCAACAACATCAACTATGAATAACACAAGTTATCATCAACCAAACGGAAGGTACAAACCACACACACGCTAGCATTAAGACAATAAACTAGCATGCTTAACAACGGAGAAACTCAAGATAGTTCCAAGGAACACACAAGACACCTCTCGGTCCAACGAAACACAATATTAAACACTTAGCACGATTCAAGACACCAAAGTCTTACATGGATACCTACCATATAGTTCTAGACATACGAAACATCAAGAAGACGCTCAAATAGTTCCACAAAAGAACATCGGGAAGTCAAAAGACCAAATACCGAGTCAAACGAATCACGGGGAACAAATCCCATTCAAACTCCACTGTGTTCCCCGCGGGTGGACCCACGGGTAGGCCCCTACCCGTGGTTCTGCCCGCGGGTACACTACCCACAAGCCAATGTACCTGTGGGTGGGCGGCGGGTAGGGCTCTCCCCGCCGTTCCGCCCGCGGGTACATACTCTTGTGTAAAATAATCCCTTCGGGGATTTTCTTCTCCAAACACAAATTCAAGTCCAAAACATGCCAAATCTCACCCAACACAACAAAATGACTTGAATCATGGAAAATGCCAAGCAATGGCACAAAGGAACCCTAAACACAAGCTCTAGATATGCAATATCACAAGACAAATGCATAAACCCTCACATTTCATAGCAAAACACAAGTAGAATCCAAGAAATCACATATAGGTAAGCAAAATAGGTTTTAGTAGAGCATGGGTTACCTCTTGTAGACCAAAAGACTTCACTTTACACCTCAACAAGCTCCTTACAAGGCTTACTATCCAAACCCACTTCAAGATCAAACCAAAAGATCATAAAGATCCTACTTTTAAGAAAAAGACAACTAAGATGGAACCAAAAACACAAGATGGACTTAGATCTTACCCTCCTAGATTCCCAAATAGGTGAAAGGTTGAATCTTGGGAGCAAATCTTGGAATCTTGACAAGGGTCTCAACTTGGCTTGGAGAATAAGCTACACTTCTTTTCTAGAGAGAAGGTAGAGCTAATTTCTAGGAATTGTAAGGAATGAAATGAAGAAGTCTTCTATGTTAGGTTACAATACTAAATCTTGGTGAAAAGTCAAGAATACCCTTACTAACCTTTAGAAAGTGTAAGGAACAAGGGAACTCCCCTCAAAGCTCAAGGTACAACACAACTTTAAGGTTGACTAGTCAAATACTAGTCCTTGAGTATTAAAAATCAGGATTTTAGGAATTAATTCCTCAAATAAAATAGGATTAATTACTCAATTAATCCATGGATTGAATGTGGATTTTTGGGGTGTCACAGTTTCAATCTTTTTTAAAAATCTTATTTCAATCTGTAACTAATTTCTTTTATTATTAGGTTGATGTTGAGGCATAGTGCTGGATTGAAGAATAAAGTGATGACTTAGAAGGGTTCAAGTATTGTGTAGCTAATTTGGTGGTTGGAGTCCATGATGAAGTTTTTCTGCACAGCTCTTTAGTTTTCCATTATTTTTTGGATGTCTATTATTGGTTTGAATTCTATAATATTGTAAAGTATTGAGAATATATATACGTTTGATAATTCTTATGTTTTGTCAATAGACTATTATATGTTTGAGTTGTATTGTAAAGTATTGAGAATATGTACTCTAAACTTTAAAAAGTATATTACTAATTATTTATCATATGATTTGTATACATCATTTACTTAATCCTAAAATTAATAATCTATACTTTTACATAAAATCAGTACAACAAGGTATAATTAGTTATACTCAAAACAGTACACCATATTTGCTTTGTCCCACAGTGAAAATTAAATTTGAACATACCTTGACAAACTGTATTATATATCGTATACATTGTTGATTTGCAGCCTATGGTAAGTTTAAATATCTGCAAGTAAGAAGCTCAAATTTTATTAAACTTTCAATTTCATATAATTTATCAAAAAGTGTTTTAATAATTTTTTTCAATTCCATATAATTTGTATTGAAATTCATATATATGAATATAAAAAAAATAGAAAAAAAATGCAGGGTTTTTCAATAGTTATAGAGAAACACTTATAATGTCTTCTGTCAATACTTCAGAATTGCATATAACACAAATACACTACATACTAAATTAGTGTTTATGCTAAAAAAAAAAAATAAATAATTAGGTTCGCATCACCAAAACCACCCTATTCGGTGAGTAAAAGCACCATACAGTGTTCGAAAATACACCGTTAGGGATGGTGAGTTATATGATGTATTTTTTTTGGATTTGTTGTGTATATTTTGGTGTATTTTTGCATTTCATTGTGGTGTATTTCTCTTACACTATTGGTGTATTCTGGAACTCCGCCGCACGGAAAGATTCCGTCGCATTTGAACTTTCTTCTATATATATATATATATATATATATATATATATATATATATATGTATATATATATATATATATATATATATATATATAGAGAGAGAGAGAGAGAGAGAGATAGTAAATCTAATGGTCCTCCGAGTATTAGCCATATACCAACTCTGATCATCCGAATTTTAAACGAGCACGAGACGTCCTCCAAGTTTTAAAAAGTTACCACCAGTGGTCCTCTATTCCTCCGTTATAATTTCTGTCAAATATGCGTTAAATTGGATGGCAAACATGTCATTTCTCATTTCAGATTTCTTTAAAAAAAAAAAAAAAAAAAAAAGGAAGAAAACTAATGGACGCTAATGGAGGTCGGAACCCCTGAATCCGCGACAGAGATTGTCGAAATTTCTCGATGACTTGCGTCGCGTGGGTTACTCTGCTCCAGTGCCGGAGATATCACGCCTGCCTGGTGATTAGCGATCACCTCCCTGAGGTGAGGAGGTCCAACCAGCCTTCTTCCCAAGCTAATCGTAACAATAATAGACCAGGTATGGCCGATGCTTCTCTTTCGATTTTCATCTCTGTTTCGTCATTGCCGGAGCAATTTCCGGTGATTGCACCGTCCGATCTTCAACTAGGTGGTAGGGATCCGTCCCTGCTTCTCAGATTTTCCAGACACTTGTTTACTGTCCTTGAACCTTTGATGTGAGATTGATGTAACGCTATGTTCATAGGTTACCAATGTGAAGGTGAAGGCTGTCATGGGACTCGTACAACTGAAGCAGGAAAGATGATCAGGATATTGAACAAGCTAAGGAAAACCTCATTCCGAGATTGGAGGGAAGAAAATTGTTCAAGATGGGGAAGGAAGATATAAAAATCTGCTGAAGAAAACTTATTTCAAACGCTGGGTTGGTGATTCAAAAGGAAACGATGCTGAATCTTACCTGAGTTTTGAAGCCAACAACATAGGAAAGATGATCAGGATATTAAACCCGTTGTTGTCGTTGTCGTCTTCGTTCTTGGTTCTCCCTTGCAACCACCCCATGTGTAAACTCAGAATGCTAATATAGGTGAAAGAACAACATTGTCCTCATATTTAACGCCCTTTTGACACCAAACTTAACGAGAGGACCACGGGTTGTGCTATCTAGTAACCTAGGCATGACAGACTGGAAAGTATATATATAACAAAAATAATGGAATTTATAATCTTGAAGATTATAATTCCAACCACAATATATATATAAATATAAATAAGAGATTCAATTTTAAAAACATAATCCCACGTACCAAGAAAAAGATAAGGAACAAATGATCCAAATCGAGCAAAGCATTCTCTCCTTAAAATCGATTCTTCACTTCCAAGAGGTGCTATGAGCTGTGTGATGTTGGTTTCCTACAATAAAATGAATCAACGATACTATGTTCAAGCACTCAAACAATAGTACCTTCAGTGAACTAGAATAAAAGCTTGAACACAAGCTAATATTTTAGAAGAATGGACAGAGTTTCTGGAAGAGATAGGACTACATAGGATGGAGAGAAAATTCTAATTTTCTTGCTTCTTCATTGTTAAATCACTTCCCAAACACAAGATTATATAGGGAACGCACATAAATAATAGCATTCATGGAACATAAATCCGAATTAAATAATTGGTTGAGGGACCCTTGGGGTTGGAGATTCAACCTTTTGAGAAGAATTAAATAATTGGATTATAACATTTGAAACGGTCATACTTATTATCGTAATAATATTTACAGTTACGAAATTACAATTAATTCGTACCGACCACAATAAACTGTTTCAAAACACTTGAGTGATCGAGAAATCCGTACATCCAAAATAATCATTCGAAATTAATTGAATTGAGACCGAGATCCACACCGAAACAGTGGAGCACCGAATCGGTGCAGCACGAAACACTAGTACAAAATTGAACATAGAAGATTGATCATAGGTCACCATTGTTGAAAAAATGGTTGTCTAATCTTAGCCTAAAAATTCGCGGTGGCAATTTTATAAATAAGTGATCAATAGTCCCCTACCATTGTTAGTTGTAATGATTGCCCATTGTATATTTAATATATTTAAAAAAAAATTAATTTATAATAGACAACCGTTTCTAATAAAAATGGTTGCCTCAAAATAGAAATTGTTTTATAATAGGCAACATTCCTAATAGAAATGGTGGCCTAATATTATCCCTGGATCTAGCACTTACATCAAAATCGCATCTCAGATCTAAAATCTTCATCCGCCATCTGCTTCGATCGTCTCATCGCCACAACACCTACCGCCACCACGCCGTTGGCCTCACAACCTCCACCGTGACGACGATCTGCTGATGCGCACCACACCGTGACAACCTCGACGCAGCCACCGCCTCCAGCGCTGATCTGCCGACGCCACCACTGCTACCACCGCCATAGCCGACGTCTCCGCCCCTGCTTCAGACACCCACGACCGCCGCTCCATCGAAGAAGAAAGAAGAAGAAAGCTCAGAGGTTTCTCTCTGTTTTCCGTTTTGTTTCTTTCTCAGATCTAGATGTGGTTTGCGCTCAGATCTAACTCGATCATTTCTGACTTTTTTGGGTGATACGTTCAGAGACCATAAAACCCTTAATACTAATCTCTGACTCCCTTTCGCAGCACAAGACCACTTGCAGATGGTGGCGTTGGTTGCGGCTTCATCATCAACCTCCGGATTAACGGAGAGGAGAGGAATTTCGGCGGCGGTGTTCGTGAAGAACTGTTCAGGTACTTGATTATCCTATCCTCTCTATACAAAAAGAAAAAAACAAATTGATATGCATCTGTAGTTCTGCACTTAAGTTCTAATCCTTTAGTTGTTCAGGCACTAAAGATGGTTTGCCTGTATAACTGATATGCATCTGTAGGGCTGGTGCTATCATTTGTTTCCTTGCTGGTTCATTTATTTTTAGCCAAATCTAGTGTTGATCTTGTACAATACACTTCTTTCACTGTTTTTACGGATGAGCTAACTCCTAATCTTCCAATTAAAAAGGTAAACAAAAAATTGTACACTCCTTAATGATAATGGTACTATTAGATATTATTTTATGCTTGATTTGGCATTTCAAAATTCAAAAAGGGTGCTGCATATCAGAGCTTTTGTATAATAAATTAAATAAATGTGAATATTCTTGTATCTACTATTCATTGGGATGGTATTCTAATGGTCTGTTGCTCTGTGCTTCATTAGGATATTGAGTTCATGGAGAAGAGGATTGAGGACCTTGAGAAGAGCATGAAGGGGAGCAATGAATCCGTACTTCAATTTATCACTAGACCATCACCAATTTAATGATTTCTGATATGCTTCAATTCATCATTGATGCCACTACTTGTAACTTCTTTAATTAGCATACCATACCTGTGATTTATAAGTTAAAGGAAAGTGTTCTCACAGTATTTGGTACCATGGCAGGAAGAGATGCAGAAGAAAACTGGCTACATTGTTCTCAGGGCTGAGGGAATCTTTGATGTGGATGCTAATACATCCATTGATCAGCTATCTGATGAACTCGAGATTAAAATGCCCGAGGTAAATTGTTATCTTCCGCAATGATTGATTTGCTATGAAAATTTCAATTCTTTTATTTCCCATTAAGATCCTTTGTGATTTCCTCCTTCACTGGCCTTTATTCTTTTAATTTCTATTCAGGATCATCAATACGAAACAGTTTCTAGTTTTGTTTATGAAGCATTTGGTTACATACCTAGGACGGGTGAGAGCATAAAAGTGATACTTGTTAGAACAGTTCACTCAAGCAGAGCATAATTGATGTGTGGGCTGTAACATGTATTCCACTTGATCCTTAATACTAGTTGTTAAAAATTTCAATTCATTGTCTCTCTACCCACTAGGGTTTCCTTTTCTTGCTGAAAAACACAAATATTTTTTTCTTTTCTTTTTTTTACACTGTAGGCTTTTCTTGACTTGTTCATTCTATTTCAGTGAACATTCAACTGCAAATTTGATGATCCTTAATTAGTTAATCTAAACATATAGTAGTTTGGTTTTGAATTCTATTTTGTCGTCTGCATCTATTTTTCGAATTCTAGGACTTGGATTTCTTGTGCTACCCTGTAACTTTGGATGATGCATGCCCTCCTGGTTCACTTAAGCCAAATTTCAAATATATGCCCTTCTGCAATTTCATTGTTTATATTGCAATACATCTATCTTGAACTATATAATGGCCTAATAGGTGAATTTCAAATAATTCACATTTTTATTCTGTTTTTGATATGTGATCCTACCAGGAGTTCAGTTATGGAGATCAGACAACACCAGGCAGTCCAGATGAGATGAAATGTTTCTCAAGGATTTATATTAAACCCCTGCTTAACACCTTATGCCAAAACAAAGTCCAAGGTAATCTTTTTTCATAATCCACATTCTCACTAGAGTCTAGAGTAAGCAATTCTTTGGATTGAAACAATGTTGGAGTAAATATGTACTTTTGTCCTATTGTGTATATACTCCCACAAATTAAGAATCTATTAAAGCCTTAAAGTATCGTTTTTGGTGCACTCTTTATAATAAGTTATTGTAAACTTTTTAAGTATTCTAGGCTCTCTCGTTCAGCAATTTAGTCAGATTAGAGTCCCCTCCAATATCCAGATTGAACGGTATCCGGTGTTTTTTGTGTAAGTTCCATTAACAGACCTAGCTATATGAAGTTTGCTTTGTCTCATAGATCTGGGAGGCAGAGTCGAGTCAAATGACAAGGACCTCAAGAGGATTAAGCAGGAGATGATGAGTGGAGTTAGTTCCTAATTACTTTCTATTTTTGACTTTGTTAATTGACAAATGTGGTAGATGAGTACATGTAAGAAAAATTTCATGTGCTATGGTTTCTAGATACAGAATTTATATGAATTAGTTGAGATCTGAGTAAACAGCTAAAATCATCATCTGCACCTTTTATCTTTGATAAAATCAAATTATGAGTCATAGGTGTTAAGCATTTGTCTCTAATTTTATTGTGTGCCAACTGTCACATTATTATGGCATCAGCAAGCTTTTAATAATGGATTCAACAAAGTGTAATGTACAGTTTCATAACTTATTCTGGCTTGTATATTGGTGGTGAACTAAGCCATGTTACTATCTCATGTGATGCACTTAAATCTGCTGCTTGGTCAGAAATTTACTATGCCTAAAATTGTTTTTCCATGCATGGATATCCTCTATATTTTACCTTTGTTGTGGCCACCTTTGTTCAATGCATCAACCCTGACGAAAATAGCTATGTTCATAGACTTCTGTTAGTGTCATGTTCTCTATCATTCTTTATTCACTTGAATATAGTTAAACAGCACTTCTATGGTGAGTCTATCATTCTTTATTCACTTGAATAGGAGACATGTACTTGATGAAGTTGATTGACGTGAATCTTTTCTCCAATCATAATTGATGTATTCTTAATATATGGTTGTTTTTGGAAGACCTCAACTCAATCTTGATCTGGTTTATTCAGGCGATAGAAATCAAGGCAGCCAAGAATAAGTCTTCTTAGGGGCGGTATGATTTGCTTATATATAGGACCAAGTTCTTAACTTTTGTTTTATCCTTAAAATTTTTTTCTTCCTCTTGACCAGGTTAGAATCATTCTTCAAACCAGTTGCTAACACATCAATACCAGCTAAACGAAAGGTACCAATTTAGTGTTAAAAAGCTGTTTCTTTATTTACTAATGGAAAATGAATAACTACAATGTTTGAAAAGGAAATTAGTCAATTATTTGGATTATTATGCATCTTTGACAATTGTGGTTGTTTAAAGTCTTATGGAATCTTCATAATCATGCCTTAGAATACACTCCTATATAATCATGAGAAGTTTGAGCACCTATGTCTATATTGATGTTTGAGGGCTTCATTTTGTCATCTATGATTTATGCTTTATCTGCCTCTCCTGGGATTGGAAGAAGTAATCTTATGATATCTACTTTTTCATCATAGTATTATCTTTTCTCTTCAGTTTGCGCCATTTGCATCTTTCTGATTGATGTCTTACAAATTGCTAAGCTTCTCTTTGTTTGTTCCATAGTTACTATAGTTTCTGTAAAGTGTAAACATTGAGTTATGTGTTTGGATGGTGGAACTGTCTTAGGGACAAAATCTAGTTTTCGAGGGGTCCTCAAGTCACATGTTTTTGCAGATTCAGAAGAAAAAACTCAAATTTGTAACATATCTAATCCGTAGGGTATCTTTTTCATTCCAAACATGATTGACATAGAGGATCCAGCTTTGGATAGTTCTGTTGTGTCTTAGATTCTATATGTATGTTGTTAACTTTTACCATACTGGCTCACAGGGAACCAAATGTGTTCTTGTATCTCCGATTCCAGTAACAAAGTTTAGAATGTTCTCCGTACAAGCTTCCATAGATCATTCTCTTACATGTGCATGTATGCAGGTGAAGCTGATTGAGGAAGAGTTCGCTTTGCCCGAAAGTCTGTGGATCCCTTATACAGGGTTGCTCTATGTATGATGTTGTTAAGGCAATTGGCATGGATGTGTAAGAACCTAATTTTTAATTTAAAATTATAAATTTGTAATTTAATTTATTGTTTTTACAAATACTATAGTAATTTCATAATGGTTGTGGGAATTGCACATGAATATATAATATTAAAATTATTTTATTATTATTAAAACTATTTTTTTATTTTTTTATTTTTTAAAACAGTAACAATAGGCGACCATTCCTATCCAAGAATGGTCGCGTATTACATTTGAATAAAAAAATAAAGGACAATACGCGACCATTCTTGGTTAAGAATGGTCGCGTATACATTTGAATAAAAAAAATAAAAAAACAATACATGACCATTGACCAAGAATGGTCGCGTATTACCAACAATGCGCAACCATTTCACAATGGTCGTGTAAAGTCAATGCTTTTCCGCGAGCCTCTCATAGGCCACCATTGTACAATGGTTGCCTAATGTCTTTTACAATGGTTGCATATGTACAGTTTTGTACTAGTGAAACGTTGCAACACAAATCATTGTAGATAACTACCAATTGCAAATTATGCAATTAATGCTGCATTCAAACCATCACCTGGTTAGCACCACCTCGTTAACAGCTCATGTTAATTAGTTAGCCGAGTGGGAGCAAATTATGCTGTGCAACCGTGGTGCACATGGTTGTAAAAATGACATTATTTTGATTAAAAATGTGCATCTCACTTAAAAAAAAAAAATTAGGTTTGATTTTCGACAATAGTATTTTTTTTTTTTTGTATAATTTGAATTATATATCCACAAATTCATAACTATATATCCACAATGAATGAATAACACAAAATCCAGAATGAATGAACTAAATATCCACAATGAATGAATGAACAACATAATGCTGTTGAGGAGAATCGAAACTGATTTTTTTTTTTAAATGGGACGCGCGTTTTTAGTCAAAACGACGTCGTTTTGCATGGTGCACACGGTTGCACATCATAACTATTGCCGAGTGGTGCACATTAAGGCAATGCTAATTACTTTGCTAATTACTTAGCACTTTAGATGCTAATCTCAATTCAAAGCACTGAATGGTGCAATTGTACCAATGGTGTAATTAACATTTAGCACCAAACAATAAAGCATTATTCAACGATGCTAATTATAGAGCTTAATTAAGCTTAATCATAAAGTACTAATTCAATCGATTTCTTTCAAATAGGTTCATTTTGAGAATCAATTTCTCATTACTCATTTTTACGATACAATATATCAATTTCTTCTGACGATCAAGTCTCCATTTAGAGCAAGAAGGTGAGGTGAGATTGAAAGTGTAAGTAACAGAGTGAAAAGCTTGTTCAATACATTTTGAGAAGATGACTTATATCCACAGAGACGGTTATCAGATGGTTATAACTGCTAGAGGATGTAAAATTACATAAGGAGCCCTCAAGTCATTTTGTAGCTGTGTCTTCTTTTCCCATCTTGTGCGTATCATCCAATATCCCCCCGTAAACTGGAGCATGAAGATCCTGGATGCCCAGTTTAGAGATGAATAGGTGAAAAGGTGACGCAGGAAGTAGCTTGGTGAAACCATCTGCTACCTGAGCTGATGAAGAATCTGAAAGTAGTTTGATGAGCCCTTGGTTGAGTCTTTCTCGCACCACATGGCAGTTCGATATGTTTCGTCCGCTCATGGAATACATGGTTCTCGGTGATGGCAATGGCAGATTTGCTATCACAAAATATAGTTTCCGATTTTGTTAGTTTGATCTGTAAGTCACAAAGCAAAGAAGTAATCCACTGGACCTCACAAACGGTGGCTGCTAGAGCCCGGTACTCTACTTCGGATGATGAGCGCGAGACAGTGACTTGTTTCTTCGTTCTCCACGAAATGAGCTCGGATCCTAGGAAGATACAGAACCCAGTTATGGTCCTGCGCGTTTCTGGGCATGATGCCCAGTCTGAATCTGAGAACACATTCAACTACATGGTATTGTGTTTTGGATAGAATATGCCCTGACCAGGAGCTTTCTTGATGTATCGAAGGACTCGATGTGCTGCTGCCATATGTTCAGTCGTTGGAGCATCCACATACTGGCTAAGTTGTTGTATGGCATATGTTATATCTGGTCTGGTTGCTGTGAGATACAACAGCCGACCAACGAGACGTCTGTAGCTAGAAGGATCACTGAGGATGATGCCCCCTTCTCTGGTTAGACGAACACCAGGAACCATTTGTGTATTGACTGGCTTGGAATTTAAGAACCCTTCCTCATCAAGAATTTCCAAGGCATACTTTCGTTGACATAAATTCAAGCCTGACTCGTCCTTATGTGCTTCAATGCCCAGAAAATAGCCAAGGGAACCCAAGTCCTTGATTTTGAAAAAAGTATTGAGGAAGTCTTTGAGCTCTTGAATCAGACTGATGCTAGGACTTGTCACCAGTATATCATCAACGTATACGAGGATAGCTACGAAAGTCATCTCACTGCCCTTGGTGAATAAAGACGGGACAAACATAGACTGTTTAAATCCTCTGTGAACCAGTTCCTTGCTGAGCTTGGCATTCCATTGCCGGCTTGCTTGTTTCAAGCCATAAAGTGACCTCAAGAGTCTGCATACCTGCCCTGGTTTTTCTCCTTGGAAGCCAGGTGGTAACACCATGTAAACCTCCTCATCTAGATCTCCATGGAGGAATGCATTGTTAATGTCCAGTTGATGCACATGTCAGTCCCGAGATGATGCCATGGCTATGAATGTGTGTATGGTAGTGATTCTTGCAACGGGTGAAAAAGTTTCGATGTAGTCTATTCCCAATTGCTGAGTGTAGCCTTTAGCCACTAATCTGGCCTTGCACCGCTCTACTGAACCATTGGCCTTGAGTTTAACCTTGTAAACCCACTTGCATCCTATTGGATTCTTTCCAGGTGGTGGATCAACCAACATCCAAGTGTTATTGTCTTGGAGGGCTTTGATCTCGGCTGCCATTGCATCTCTCCAACATTTATGGTGTATTGCTTGACTGTATGTACGTGGCTCATTAATGGTGGTAACTGCCAAAGCAAACTTCATATGGGGAAATGTAAGGTAGCTGTATGAAATAACCTTGGATAAGAGATGGGGAGATGCACCTTGTGCTATTGCAGTCTCACAGTAATAGTCCACCAGCTTGCATGGAGCACGTTTGTTTCGATCAGAACGCCTAAGGTGAGCAGGTGGCGTGTTACAAGTCTGATCAATAGCTTCTTGGTCATTCTGACTGTCACAGACCTCTTGGTCATTAAAGCTGGTACTGTGTGGTTCATGCATTTGAGTTTCATGTGGCTGTGATGTGCTAAGATCTGCTGGTTCATAAGGATGTGGCATACTAATATCTGTTGGTTCATAGGTGTGCCTTGACTGAGCAGAACTGGAATTGTGCTGGCCATATGACTCCAAATCTAGATTCATAGTTGCAGGCACATTGGGCAGTGAAGGCTCATCACATGGAGTATTTTGATTGGAGGCATCCTTGTCTGACATAGGGAACTGGGATTCATAGAAAACAACATCCCTTGACACAAAATTTGAACCATCTTCTAAACTGTATAACATGTACCCCTTAACTCCAGCTGAAATGCCAATGAATATGCACCTCCTTCCTCTAGGTGCCATCTTGTGCCTGCCATTAGAAAGAGTTGCAGCATAGCATAGACAACCAAACACTTTAATGTTGCTGAGATCCGAATCACTACCATACAATCTTTTATAAGGACTGGATAATGCAAGAACTGGAGAGGGGAGCCTGTTTATGATAAAGACCGCATGCATGATACAATGCCCCCAAAAATCTAATGGGAGATGTGCTTGAAATCGTAAAGACCTGGCCACATTAAGGATGTGTTGGTGTTTACGCTCTACTACGGCATTTTGTTGTGGTGTGTTAACACATGAGCGTTGATGAATGATGCCATTTGCTAGGAAAAACTCCTTCATATCAAATTCAGGCTCATTGTCACTGCGAATAGTTTTTATCAAGCTGCCAAACTGAGTAAACACATAGGCATGAAAAATTTTCACAAACTGTCTTGCTTCAGATTTATTCCTCATCAAATGTATCCAAGTAAATCTAGAATAGTCATCAACTAAAGTCAAGAAATAATATTCCCCTTTCAAAGTACATACATGAAATGTCCCCCAAATATCAACGTGAATCAAATCAAAACAAGCCAATGAACTAGTAACACTTATTGGAAAATGGGAACGTTTGTGCTTAGCTAAATGACATGTATCACAGGACACATCTTTATTCTTAGAAACATCAATATCACAAAGGAGGTGTAGTTTCTTTGTTAGGAAATGCCCCAACCTCTGGTGCCAAATTTCCGGGCTAGTGCACTGCATAGCGTAGTGTCTGTCTGCTAAACTTGATGAATGCATCATTAAGTATAAGCCACTTTCTTCCCTAGCTAATCCAACTGTCTGGCCATGACTCCCCTGAATCAAACTTTGTTTTGGCATGAACGTTAGTCTATAAGCAGTATCATGAATCAGTTTGCTCACAGAAACGATGTTAAACTTGAATGAGGGAATATACAATGCTTCTCTCAGCCATAAACTGTCACTGAGCCTCACATCTCCTATATATTCAACTGCAACAGACTGACCAGTAGGGAGATTTACTTCAATTCCATTAGTTATGTGATGATTAATAAGAGAATCAAGGGAGCACACAATGTGATTTGTGGCCTCTGAATCAAGAATCCATGTTGAACAGCTTAAAGAAAGAGAGTTAACTGAATACCTGCCTTCATCAAATTTTGGAGTTAAGGCAATGGCAGCTGCAGTAGACATGCTAGGATTAGTGTTTGAAGTAGATGCTCCAGATGTTTGAGAGGTTTGAGCTTGCAAGATGGAGATGATCTTGTGTAATTGTTCAGAGGTCACCCCTAGGTCTCCTGTACTGCCCATTGTTGCTGCAACTTGCTGCTTACCCTTCGACTTGTATCCCGGCACCCAACCAGCGGGGTAGCCGTGTTTTTTGTAACATTTGTCTACTGTGTGTCCATTCATACCACAATAGGTACATTTTGCTTTCATCACATTGTTTCTTCTGTCATTGTAGTTGTTTAGAGCTGCAACCAGAGTTTCATCGTT